GAAAGCTGTCAATGCGAAATCCTCAACAGGATGCGCAGGTTTGGGTGGCAGCCCCTGCAAGTCGAAGGGCAGCGTCGGGTCAGAGGGGGGGAGCAGAGCGCTCTCCCTTCCTCCTGGCTCCAAGGCAAAACGGTGGCTGATCGGAGAGGCGCTTAAAAATAGTGGCGCAGTGCCAAAGGGCCATGTGTGAAAAATCTTTATATAAAGCGGCGGGTGCACGTGCAAACCGTACATAAACCATGCAGCCCACTTAGTAACGGCAGAGTTCCAAACATCCCCGCTTTAAAGAGCTTTTTTTTTGGGGGGGGGGGAAATCAGCGGACAACTCCTGGCTAATATTCCACAACAAATAATAGCTTTATCGCTCCCTGATGCATGCTTGCTTTTAATTCCTGCTGTTCGTCTTTTTTATCGTTATTGAAAGGGATAGCTGTATTCGTACCCGAAATTACAGAGCCTTGCGGCATCCTTAAGACTAACCAGACTACAACATAGAGTTTGCAAGACCTCAGCAGGGCTGTTACTGTCATAACCTTTTGGAGGTGATTAATGTACATAGGGTCACCAGAAGTCAGAACAACACCTTTAACTAACAATATTTAACAAAATAAATGTTATATTATTATTATTAATAATAGCATTATCAGGATTATTTTTATGCCTACTCAATTATCTCTTCCCCTTGTCCATTTAAAGATTACATTGTAAGCCACCTTGTTGAAAGGTAATGATTTATTTTCTTGCTGTTTGAATTCTTGAGCATCATCACATTTACATCATTCCACATGGTTTATCTCATCTGTTCCAAATAAACTGAAAATCAATTGGCCTTTAACGGATTTTTGAAACCAATTACTGTGGTATGATCTTTCACAGGAAGGCACCTACTTCATCATATGCATGGACATTAAAAAGTGTTGAATACATACACGTATATCCTGTGGAGGCGGAATTTCATTTTCAAGGTAAGATTAAAGCAGGAGGTAAACATCCTGAAAGAAAAGATTCTTTGCATAGGTCAATAAATGGAAACTTTCAGTTTCTATCACTTCTCTCCTCAACATCACCTTGTTGTTTTTTAATTGGGATACGTGCATGAAGGTTGAGCAGAAAGTACACACCTATTCACACTGGTAGATAGCTGGGTGATCTGAAATAGATGTGCTACTTATTTTTAACAATGACTTTAAACAAACATTACCCACATATCTTTAAACTGTATACCACACTTAAACTGTATGACACAATGACATAACCGAAATGAAGAAAGCTCAGGAGTCGGGTTTTAAATTTTTTATTTACTTGTTCTGATTTTCTTTGGGGATTGAAGTTCGGTTCAGTTTTGATATCAGAAATGAATTCCTGAGCTCAGACTTCTTTAATTCAAGATATACAATATTTTCCATGTATAAGACGCCCCCCACTTTTCTAACCCCAAATTAAGAAATATGATCCTTTTCCCCTCCTTTTGCTAAGCTCCATGGAAGTTGGTAAGCAGAGGGGAAAGCAGAGATCAAAACCAACCTGTGGCGCTTTGATCCGTGCTTTCCTTTTGCTAAGGCTTAGCAAATGGAGAAGAAAGCAGGAATCAAAGGCCTGCAGGATCACTTTGATCCCTGCTTTTCCCTCCACTTGTGTTTGTTCTCTCCTCAGCTTACTTCCTTGTATAAGACGACCCTCAATTTTTAGTCTAAAGATTTTAGACAGAAGTATAGTCTTATACATGGAAAAATTGTATGTCATTTTTGGCGGCGGCGTCTAGTCGTTTAGTCGTGTCCAACTCTTCATGGCCCCATGGACCAGAGCATGCCAGGCCCTCCTATCTTCCACTGCCTCCCGGGGTTGGGTCAAATTCATCTTGGTTGCTTCGCTGACACTGTCCAGCCATCTCATCCTCTGTCATCCCCTTCTCTTCTTGCCATCACACTTTCTCAACATCAAGGTCTTTTCCAAAGAGTCTTCTCTTCTCATCAGATGGCCAAAGTACTGGAGCCTCAGCTTCAGGATCTGTCCTTCCAATGAGCAATTTGGTTTGATTTCCTTCAAAATTGATAGGTTTGTTCTCCTTGCAGTCCAGGGGACTCTCAAGAGCCTCCTCCAGCACCACAACTCAAAGGCATCAATTCTTCGGCGGGCAGCTTTCTTTATGGTCCAGCTCTCACTCATTTTTGGCACCTGGACCTAATTAATGGATCTTCAATTTCTAATTAATCCTGAAGTCTGCCCACTTCTGAACTGCTTGATAACTCGGTGGAACCAGAGGTTGGGAATTTGATTCTCCACTGTGCCTCCTTGAGAGGGGCTGGAGTTGATTTCTATAGGATCCCTTCCAACTTGGCAGTTCTAAGATTATTATTGTTACAACACCATCAACACTATCCTTAGATATTTTCATTGTTTTCTAGTGCCCAGCCCAAATGGGCCAACCTACTAACAACCAGAATATATCATATCTACATCTCAGTATTGTGACTTGTATTATATTTGATGGATAAAAAACATATTCCAGTGATAAAAAGAGGAATAGTTTTGCTGAGACCAATTTTGTTTTTGTCCCAGCCACTTAGGAGAAAAAAAGAGCAATGCAGGGCCAATTTTTATCCCAGTTGTTTTTTATCTGTGTAGAATTCCTAAATTGTAGATCTACTTATGTGTAGACTCTTCAATTAAGTGTTGATTTTAGAAAAAGGAATGTTTATTTCCTAGTCATAAGTACTAAATTATGTGGCATTCTAGTGGAAATTCCAACTTCGTTTTCTATAAGAATAATAAGAAAAAATGCCTTTTCAAACTTTACCGTCAGTTCTATTTTATCTCCATGTGGTTTTTTTGGTGTTTACATTTTTGTCAGATATTTAATATTATTGAAGTATTTATGCATTTTGCCAAAAATGGTTAAGTGCATTTAGTGTTTTTTAAGAAATGAATTAAAAGGGCTTCATCAGATTAGGAAGATAATTATAATGATAATTATTTTAAATATTGTTGGGAGAAGGTGGTGGAGCAAAGTGGGGTGGCAGCTAAATTCTGTCTGAAACATCCATCAGCTTGGACTGCAACTACACCTTACAGCAACTTTGGTAATTTCATATGATGGAAAATGGTACGTTGAACCCTGAGCTGGTGCTGGCCTCAGGGCTGAACAAGTGGCAAAAGTGGATCAGCTAGAGCTATCCCTCAAGCAAGAACAGTGTTGCTATCCAGCTAGTGCCAGGGAGATTACTCAGGAACCTCAGAACTGGCAGACTGGTGAGGTTTTTGCCGAAGGTGCAACTCTGGTGGCTCCTTTTCCTCCCACATGACAAGCAAGTGAAACTGCCCCAACCCAGCCACAGGCAGGAGCAGCAGGAAGCCTCCCAGTGATGGCCATTGAGCAGGCCAGTGACTACAGTGACATCCTGCTTTAACATGAGGAATTGCATTAAGGCAGAGTATGTGAAACAGGCAGTTTCATACCTGTTTTCAGATAATTCTGTGGGTTATCTGAAATGTGTCATTCCTATCCTGGTTACCTGGCTACTAATTGAAAACTAACTTTCTGCTTCAAGTTCTGAAAAAAGTTGCTGAAACAATATCAAATCCCGAGGTTATCTTAATGATAGGACTTTTGGACTGCCTATATTTTATGCATTTAATCTGCCTCTCAGCAAACTTCATAGTGTTTTGTAAATAAATGACAGTTTATACAAATTCCTCTCCTGATATTACTTCCAAATTCATCAGGAATGTTGCTTCCAAATTTGTCAGGAATGTTGTATTTTAGTACTATGTTTAATTTTACCATTCCTCATTAGCTTTACTCTAATTTTTGGTATTAATAGTTAATCATGTCATAGTCTGCTCATGGTTTTATTTTCACAAACAGGATAGAGCTTCTCTATATTTTACTTCTGTTTGTGTCTGTGTGATCATCTGGTGATGTCCATGTAAACAATAATGTGTCAAGTCTTTTGAAGAATTATTTTGAATAAACAAACTATGAGCACCACAAAATTCTATAAAATGTTGTTCTGCTTAATTTCTAATCCCAGAGCCAAATTCTTTTTCAAAGTTTGGTTCTGCTTAATTTCATATTTTTGCATTTTAGTTTCCTCTAATTACTGGCACATACTATTTTGGTATGAGATTAGTTTCCCCCTGGACACTTACGTAAAAACATTCAATTTCGTCTCCTTCAGCATTTGTAGTTGGTGTATGGATGTTGGATGATGGATACTGTTGTGTTCTAAGGCAGCAGGTGTCTGGGCCAGATAGGCGGGGTATAAATAAATTTAGTGAAATATCTGCATAAATAAATAAATAAATAAATAAAACCAGAAGCAAGAGGGAGTCCATGGCCATTTTTGGTCAAACACTGAGCAATCAGAATCAGACTAGAACCAATAGTCAAGCCAAAGATCATATATGTAATAGCTAATTACGGTAAATGTCTTGCAACCTGGCAGTCTCAACTTCTGAGATTGTCACTTATTTTATTTTGGATTGTTTCATCACAAGGTTTTTGAGATATAAAGCATTCAGAAATGGCTTCCTATTGTCTCATTCTGTGCAGTACTAACCGGAGTTAGCCTGAGTATTGTTGCCATGGTCTATGAAAGATACTGTGCCAGTATCAATTTCCCTTACTGCAACCTTTCTAGAATTTCTCCACTCCCATCACCATTGGAACTAGCAATGGGAGTTCTTATATGTATTAATACAAAGTCCACTGGCACAAGTGGCTGGCTTGATTACCTCCCAGGCCCCTCCAGACCACTTACCATATGGTTTGTATGGCCGGTGTGGTCCACCACAATTGTGGCAGTAGCTCAGCTGCCAGAGCCATGCCTC